GTATTTTTTTTTTTTTTTTTTTTTTTTTTTTTTTCATTATGTTAATTAAACGTTCGGAAAAAAAAACTGGTTAATAGCTTATCATCAAACGCAATAGTGAATTTTAATTTTTGATTTGAAAAAAAAAAAAAAATGTTTTTTTTAATTTAAATGTATCATGCGTCGAGCGTTTGCCTGCTTGTTTATGTATATTTAAACATTTTATTACATATTAATAATATTTGTCATTCATGACTTCATTAATGTAAAGATTTATTGCTATATACCATTCACATGGATGACATATTCTTTTCAATAGAGATTACAGCGAGACATTCAGTTGACATTATTCCATAATGGTTGTCATTAATTAAAAATGATTTATAAAGCAATTGTCATCTAATTAAAAACAGCAATTAATCAATTAATCTAATAGAACAGTTATTATATATCATCGCTTCCACGCAATGCTTTACTTTGATGCTTTTAGAAAATGACTAAATTTTATGAAAAATTGACTAAATTTTTGAAATTTAAAAAATATGTTGGGTTAAATTCTACCGTAGACAAAGTATGCATCTACCTTTGATCAACTTAAGCAACGGAATCGATTTAATTTTTCAGCCTCCTAACGATCAAATCACGCCCATATTGATAGTTATGATGTGATCTTAAACACTCACCCGAAAGTAAAATTTATATGGCGGACTACTCGCTTTTTCTCACTAAAGTTGGAGATGGCGCTCGCGGACATTACAATCGTTGACCCGAGCGTTGTAGGCGGATCAGATTTATTGATAAACTTGATTTGTTGCCAACCTCCAAATATTCGTATTACTTTTCAACACTGTGAATGATGGGGGGACAGACGAGGACTCTGAAAAGCCGATACTAGCATTTTTTTAACGCTTAAATCTAGCGATGTAAGTGAACTTTAATTATACAGCTCGCTTTTTCATTTCCGAAACAGGTAAAACATTCGCTACCAATTTATTTATATATTAAAAAGCCGTATTCTATGTATGATAAAAACGTTGTAATCGAGACAGTCTGTCTGAAGAGATTAGCATCAATTTCGCAATTTTCAAGCGGTGTAATGGGATGATTGTGGACAGCGCGTCACTATTGTTGCCGGCAATTGGCAATAACTAGTGTACGATATAACGTGAACATTAACTAATGTAGTTTGTAGGGAGATTTTGCGATTGACATTCACTTGAATTTCGTTATAAGTTTATGGGCTAAGTCATAAGGTAAACATGCATACAGTGGTATGTCGCATGTAGGAGCATACGCTCCTAGTTACGAACAGATCGACTCGGATGAACTTAAGCGTTGAACATAAATGTGCTTCTACAACTCCGTAACAACATCTTGACTTACTAACTCATATATTTTTGATCCGGAAACGACATAAGCATTATTGTTAAAGTTTAAACGTTCTTTCTTATTATGTTATTGTTAAAATGAGCCTTTTTCTGTTTTTGTATTAAATTAAGGTCTATTATGGTTTCCAAGAAAGTGTAAATCGTTAATGACGGACATGTAAAAAGTCCGAAACGTATTGCAAAAGAAGCAAAAAAAAAAAAGGAAGAAATAGGAAAAAGTAGCTGGTATTGTTCAACTCGGCAAACATTACGATATGACTTTGTTTACAATCTGTACTATTTAAAAAATAAACATAAGCTGAAGGTAATCGATCCGGTTAAAGGTCCAATATAATTGTTATGCTAGTTTTCGCTGAGTAAGTGAACAACTGAAGTAAAGAAGTATATATTATGCTCTTAATTCGTAGAAAAATTTATGTAATAATTTTTTCGATAGGTTTACTGACGCTTGGTTTACGTATATTTCATAAATATAAAAAGTTTCCCTGAATAAGTGAAGACGTGAATTCATACTTATCTGAAGAAGAATTGTTAGTGCATAGAAGCATCATTCGGTCTTTATCATTTTAAGCCTTACACCATTTATGGTACAGGGTATATTAACTTTATATATATTAAGTTGTGTATGTATGTTTGTCCAGAAGAACGTAAAAATAGGCACATTTTTTATTATACCGATCGATTCAGAATCACTTTCTGGCCATGTATTTTTATGTTCAATTTACAGGTCACAATTTTTGAGAAAGGACGACGATGGCTATTGAAAATGGTTTGGAACGGATCACTGTTTCGACCACTCCCCATATAACTGCTTATGGCGATAAACCGTTCTGAGAAAAAATAATCCAATTTTCTGAATAATGCAATTTAAGCCTTCTAAAGTGGCGTGAACAATTAGGATCGGATGAGGCAATTTTTTGAACACCCTATACGCAAAAACAATTCTAATTTTCAATATTTCCCAAAGAAAATTCGTGCATGATAACAATTTGCAACAAACAATAATCTTTGACGAATTTGGATAACCTAGGCCTATTTACGGGATCCCATCCCACAAAAAGGTCTTAATTAAATGTAAAATTTTTGGTAAATCATGATGTTAACAAGAGTAATTTGGATCAAATAGGTCTTTCATTTGATCGCAACCATATGAAGAGGCTACTATTCGAAACAAACACTTCTATGGCGATTTGTATTGTAGTTTTTTATGATGATGGAAGCAAACAAAAATTTACGAAAATGTTTGACAAGTAAATTAATTTTGGTAAATTTCGACCATGCTAGTTAACGTTTTGAGCATCGCCCAATATGACAGCTTTCAAAAAACTAATGCCTTCACATAAAACTAATGTATAATTTTTATTAGTGATGTAGGGTGTCTAATAGCCGGCCTCGACCGACTATAGTGTGCTTCTTTTGCTTGTGATAAAATTTATTCTGATTTATTTTGATTTTTCAGCTTAGGAAACCCTGGTATTTAAGCTAGAACGAATATAGCAATAAACAATGTCAATAGTAACCTCTATTATTCTAGAATATATATAGAATAACTATTGTCGCTGGACACTTTTCAATGAATTTCGAAGTAATGAATACTTCCGATGTTTACAGTTTCAACTGGCTACAGAGTAGACGAAAGCATTAAATTATTATTATTATTATACAAAGCAAGCACAAGAAGAAGCTTGATTAACAGAAAATTTAATACAAAGATTGATCTTGGGAACTTGAATCTTAAGAAAAGAATTCGCATCTGCAGTTTGTTTTACTTCATGATATTAGATATCCAACCAAATCCTTAGCAATTATTCAAAATATTGTCTATCGCTAGCTACGTACATTTCCAGTCTTTCTGAACACAACATGTTTCGCCATAAGATGAAATTCATTTTCAAAGCTATTGACAAACAACTATCTCTGTTATTTAACGACCACATCTGCCCATTCGGCTTAATTAGACGAAAACCAATCTGTTACGAACTAAACTCAAGCCCCCCTGAATGGAGCAGTTCTACACTTCTTAGGTTGTTCTATCAATCTAGGGTGGCAGATATAATAGATTATGTATGGGCAAAATTGTTTCCTGTTGTTGTTGTTATAACCCCGCCAATTTAGAGTAGACACAGTCCACACCGAACTCCCCGTAGGGGCCATCTCTAGCTTTCAGTATTCCCACGTAATCACACAAGCATTCCGCAAATAGTGAAAACCGCATGCAGCTACAATACGGAAGGCGTATTCATGTAGTCACACCTACGCTATCCACGCTTTCGTCTGCAGCACTTCTGAGTTACCGCCAATACGCAGCATTTTCACATTAGTGTTCGGGTTGTCCACGCATTCGTGTAGTGGGTATTTTTCAATACTCAAAGAGAAATATTAGTACAACAAGTCCATTCTCTCAGTCAAACTACTACTTTTCTAGTACCATCAGTGCACCACACAGTTGGCTACTTAGAAAGGAGGTCGGCAAGCAGACTAATCTCGCAGCTACTCTCGATGATTTTTGTATGCAAAATCGCCCGTCACCGCGAAATGTACATACACATACACAAGTCATGGGTTGAAACAAACATCACTCAAAATGCGAAATGTTTAGTAATGACGGCGCACGTGGTAGCGCTATGAACTTCAGCGCTGCTGTGGTTAAAAAAAAAAAAAAAAAAAAACTACGAAAAAAAGCATTGTGATATTTTTTTTCGCAACAGCCCGTAATCCGCTAAACCCAACCAATCTTCACTAACGGCGGATATCATAACACGTTTTTTCCTATAACATATTGTGTCAATTTACTTTCGCGTAAAACTTAAAGATTTTAATTTAATAATGAGAACTCAGGGTTTAATAATTGCTCGCAAATAAAATAGCGTCGCTTTTTAGGAAAAGCAATGATGACTTGTTTATACAATCGAGAAAGGAGAAATTGCAAAAAAATTTAATCACTAGTGCCTTAAGCTTAAGGTTTTAAAAAATTTTTCAAGCTTAACTTACTTGTGTCCTAATTCATGAGCTATGGTATGTGACAACATAATGCCATTATCCTCGTTAACGCTGCATGACTGTTTGGGTTTACACATGCCGCCCACATTAGCCAGACCTAAAGTCCTGTTGTACATTCAAAAAAAAAAAAAAAATAGTAATAATAATAAATAAATAAATGGATAACTTGTTCAATTATATTTGTCCAGACGTCAGCCTAATTAGGACATCTGGTGCGTTCACAGCAAATGCAAGTGATCGGCTGCTGCTTTACTTACATGCAATTATTGCCGCAAATATTTTTGCGTGTGATTAACACAGCTACATCATGATGATGCGGATCTAAATCGTTACCAGTATTGAGTTTATGTTGCCAGCTAATTAGAAAATAGCAATAAAAATCTTTTTTTCTTTTTTTTTTTTTTTTTGCTAACACTTAATTAAAGTTGATCTTACTTACCCGCAAAACATATCCAAATTTTGTTGAGCATTTTCGGTTAAATTTAAATCGTTATGCACATCGTTGTCCTCCAACAATATTATTTTAACAACAACAATTTCAATAGCATTACCTATGCTAGGATCTTTATACAAAGCGGAAACCATATTCATTATGGTCAGAAGATACGTTTCAACGTCATCGTGAAAAGCAACCATAGTGGCGTCGGCAACTATCAACGTTTCAACATGACGTGGGCTGCTAATTGAGCGTTTCATACGTTCAGGTCTGTGACTCTGATGTCGTGGTTGGTGTTGTTTCTCTGTATGTTTTAATGCAATTGTTGGTTCTGTCGATCTTGGATTGCGTTGGTTTTTCACATTCTTTTCATCAAATTCATGATAGTTTTGTTGTTTTACATCCGTTTCTGTGGTTTGATATTTGTATTGCCCTTGTTGTTGTTGTTGTTCTGATTGTATAAAATGACGATGATAGAGCTGTTGCTGTTGCTGTTGCTGTTGCTGTTGCTGTGTCTCATGATTGTGGTGTTGCTTTGAATGACGTAGTCGACGAATTCTTCTGCCACCTTGAATTTTTACCTTTTAAATGTACATTTAATTCAATCATTTAATTTGCATATAATGCACATAGGTAGACAGGCGAGAAAGCATATTGTAATGATAGTGCACCTATTACTATCTTGTACTATTTTCTTTTAAGCATATTCATTTACCTTTCCCTGAGGTTGCCATTCCACCAATCTGGCTTCCATTCGTCTTTTCGGTTCTTTAGTGCCACAATTACTGAAGGCCTTCTTCGCTCGTTTCATAGGATTTTGCTGTTGTTTTAATATATGCTGCTGCTGCTGCTGCTGCTGCTGCTGCAATTGTTTACGTTTATTTTTGTTATTCAGCTTGTTGTCGTACGTTTGCTGTGTTCATGTAAATGGTTAAATTAAAGGAATAATTTGCCCGAGCAAGATTTAACAATTTTACTTAAATATAATATGCGTTTCTGTAGGTTTTCATTTTAGTTTATTTCGGACAAATCTACATCTATATGAATACATTTATATATATATATATATATATATATATATATGCATGTATATATGTATTTATAGGCATATTATATATACCATATTTTCATGTGGGTTGTTACAATTTGTCTGCAATTTTATATGGTTTATCTATTTGCGTTAGTTTGTTTAGCTAGTCTGTCCGCATACAATATGTTATGCCTATCTGACTGTCTGTCTGTCTGTCTTCTTTCCTGTTGGCATCCCACCAGTTTTGTTTACTTTTTGCTTTTTTTTTTTCCTTTATCATTGTGCAGTTAATTACCTTCTTGTTAATTGACGATCTTTGAAATACAACATGTGGATGTCCGCTGCTAATTGTGTGGGCAGACATATGATGTTTTGATGGCTCAATATAATACTCATTATTTTTGCTTTTTATATGACCGACCTGAAAAATATGAAACAACAACAACCACGCATAATGTTTTTCTGTGTCTATGCGGGAAATAATAAAATAAAAATTCACTTATTATTTACGCTAATACATGTATTTAAATACATATTTATTATGCATTTGAGTACGAAAAATATTTGAGAACTAGCAGTGACAAAAAACTTAGGAAACAAACCCGATTTCGTCGCCATTGTGAGTTCTCCAAAAACAAAGACCGACAATTAATACTAAGCGTGAAACTTTTAAATTTTCGCAATGGATGATAAGTTTGAATGCGATATTTTGCTTCTTGTTTTTTTTCTTTTGTTATTTTTTTTTTTTTTTTTTTTTTTTTTCTTTGAGCAACAAAAGATTTAAGCGAAAAACGTGCCTTTAAATGTTTTTTTTTGATCTTTCGTTCAATCGTATATAAAGATCAAAAATGACAAAACAAGGCTTGACTAACATACGCTAAAGAAATTTTAGCTGTCTTGTAAAATAAATTTTAAAACATTTACAATAAATTTTTGTTTTAAACTCATTACTGAAGGATGAGCGATATATCCGTTTTGTCAAAACGCTTGCAATCACTGCAAGGGAGCTTCATAGATTCCGCAAAGTATATATATTCTTGGTCAGTACCAAATTCGAAATGGATATAGGCATGTCCGTATGTCCATCTGTATAATGTAAACAATCTACTGATTGCAAAAACGAAACTATCAACTTCAAATTTGAGAGAAAGATTGCAAGTTCTTGCACGCAGATTGATGTTGAAAATGGGCTAAATCAGCTGACGGACACGCCTATAGTACCACGTAAACTAGAAGAATACCTGCTTTTCAAAAGGAATTTTGCTCTTTTCCTATAATCGGTGTATTCTATGGGCGATGGTATGATACCTGTATAAAGTCCACGCCTATCCACTCCACTGCACCAGTGCATAAAGGTTTAACTTTTTTTAAAATGTTTTTATAATATAATATCTTGGTGTATTTCAAATTCGAAATGCGCCTAAGTCTGCGTCTGTCCAACTATGTAGTATCGGCGGTAAACATTCGCCCGTTCGCGAAGATGATGTCTTCTAAAAATTTGCAAAAGACTTTGAAAACGACCCATACCGATTAGAGGACACGCCCACGACGACTTCATACCTGTGCAACAAAAGCTGTGAGCACTTTTGCTTTCCGTGTTTTTTACTTGTTACTAGTAAAGCACAACACATACATTAAGTAAATTTTCACTTTTATTCTGAAAAGAGAACAATTTAGCCACGCCCAGCCCATATTATAGAGTATGAAAATGTAGTTCTTTTCCTTTTTCTATTCTTTTTGCGGATAACGGCGAAGGGGATAAAAGATTCGCTCACGACGGAATATAATTTTCTTGCTCGCTTATATGAAAGAAATAATGAATAAATAAATATTCATTGCAAACGTATTTACGTGAAGCTATTGCAATCTTTATACCCTAACCGATTTATCGTACAAGATATATTCAGTCGATACGGATGTAATTAATACTTAAAAGAATTTAAGGCAGATCTATCTTTTATTCTATCAATTGATCAAATCAGTTCCAGATTAATAGAAACCAGTATTTTCTTATGCACAATATTTGTTAAAAATTTGAATCGTAACCAACCATTTTTTTGAAACAACGTCTCGTAACATGTTATTGCATATCAGTAGAACTTATTGTTTACAGCTGCGATAATCTGAAAATAGCTATTGATTGCTCTAGCAGTTAAATATTTGGTGTTTTGAGGTGATATTCTCCAAAATACGGCATCCACAGTTCATAAACTAATCTAATCTGAGCTTATATTTAATGCATAATATTTTTATATATCATAAGTTATATGTGTATGTAGATATGTCTTGTATTTATATTAGGCGAGGAAGGGGATGCTTTCTGGGCTTGGGCCTGTTGCGTGCTGTTAGAAAGGCCACTTATTGGTGATCTGTCAATTGACTGCACGTTAAAGCCTTTTATTCCACTCAATACGATCGTATAGCTTTTCCGTTCTCTCAAGCATACTGGTAACTGCTGATATAAAAGCAGTAAAGAAAGCTTGCTGTTTTTTTTTTTTTTTTTATTTTATCAAAGCTACTATTATTGCCAATAAATTATCCCATTGTTCAGTAGATCTTTAAATTATGAGCCAAAAAAAATCTGCTCTCTCTGATAGCATAAATCCGACTTTGCACGAATGTCTAAATCATACATAGTCAACTTTTTTATGAGGATCGCCGAAAACTGCTTAAAAGAATTTGTTCTCGGGTGAGCCGTCGTTCACCGTTAAATATTCTACAACACTTTGTTTAATATGACTTTTATGACATAATAGAATGTTATGCGGGAAGCGGACGAAACTGAGAACCAATTTTAACAAGATTTATCCTTGAAGCAAAACACGTCGATGTCCCGAATTTTATCAAAACATCTCACAACATACAAGCCTACATCGACATGATAAAGAGGCGTGACTTTCCCAAATTCCACTGGTCGTTGTATTCATCGGCAAAAAATTGAAAAAATTGCTAATTCATGATAGGAAAAAAAATAAAATCAAGAATATTTGTAAAAACTAGAGAATATTTTTTAAGTTTTTTAGAAAGTTCCTACGCATCTCTTGGAAATTGGAAATTTCAATTATTTTTCGCAAGCTTCTTCAACAAAAAACTATCGAAAAATTATTGCAGCTAACACATTAATAATTTTTTCATAAAATTGCATTTGGTTTAAGCTAAATCGTGGATAGTCCTATTCTTAGCGCACCTACAGACGAACTGCCTTTCAGTAATAGTCCTAGCCTTTTAGCATTGAGTCAATTAAAACGCCTTTTTGCATAGGCTACTGGCTAATGGTAAATTACAAAACAATATCGAATTTGTATTTTGATAAAAAAAATATTCACAATTTCCGCAAATTTTTTCAACCTTTTTTTTTTAGTTTGAACGCATCGAGGTAATTTTTAAGTGCGATTTTTAACAAAATTAAAAAATTATTATATTATTAGATAGCCTCAGTGGGTCAAGGTATGCAGAATATTCGACTAAGAAAGAGTATAAGAATTCCTGCAACTGGAGTCGAATATCAGCCTTTTAGCCTTTTGGCAGGTCAAAGCTTTCTTCTTTAATATTTTCCCTGCATGTACCATGGGTAATATGGTTTTTGAAGGAAAAAAAGCGTCTAAATTTTTTTTCTTTTTAATACATTACAAGCGCTGCTTCTACAAAACTGACTGCCAAGTACAAAAAAGAGCAACATTTAAATAAGTTTGCCGGTTCATAAGTTTTCAGGTTCATTACTGTATAAATCATAAGTAATTCGCAAACACAATTTGAAGTTTTTTTCGTATGTATACTCTATACCGTTTGTGGCAGAAAGGTATATTGAATTTGTAGGGTTATATGCAACTCGCAGAAAGACTTGAGATTGACCCATCTTTTATTATAATGGGCTTGTCTGTCTGTCTGTCTGCCTTCTTTCTTGGTGTTTGCGATATTTTGATCAAATTTGGTATCATGACTTATTTCGGCCAAAGCTCGGACGCTATTGAAAAGCCTTCAGATCGGGTCGCTTCTTCGACCACTTCCCATATAATGCCTTGTTTTGAAAAAACTGTTATATGAATTACTGAAGGATGGTATAGGTCTGTGACCCATTATAATGTTTCTACTTGTTGTAGATTAAAGTTCTTCGAATTATCGTGTGTGGCTGTGCTTTTAAACCTAATCTGTACGTTTCAAGCAAGTTTCTTTACTATGTATTAGTTTTTTTGATCAATTTAGGCAAATTTCACAAAGTCAACAATAAAGTCAAACGATAAGGCGGCTATTGATCTGAATATGAACTGGCTTATGATATACCTATGGCGACGTTCCGAGTGCGGCAAACCCAATAGCAAAGTTAAAGCGTATGCTAAACTTATCTGAATGTAATATTTTTCTTGCATTTGCAGATGAAAATAGTGGATAGGTGCATACAGGCTTGAACGTGAATTTTTTTTTTTCTTGCAAAGAATATGATTTCAAAGCGAATGACTTCTTTAGCAAGAAATCATTAGAGTAGAAATTTCGTTGCGCATCGTTTCAATTCTATTTTTTATTTTTTTTTTTTTGTGAAAACTTCTACATTTTTTATACCTATCGCGAAGAAACGACGACTTTCTTAATCAGTTTGTAAGTTTAAGAAATACATATCAAAAACTCCATATAATAAGTTTTAGCTCCAGCTATGTCTGTCCAACTGTCCATCTGTTGTTGAAACTTACACAGACAAAGTTGTAAAAATAGAAAAGTACATTAAAGTTTAACTTTCTTATACTTTCATACTGTATCATAGTATTCAGTACCGGTTAAAGTCGATAAATAAATAATGTAAAAATGGGTGTGGTATTCAAACAAAAAACCTACTAATAATGGCGAAACGAAATCGAAAAAAATCTATTGCGAGAAAACCTTGAACGAATATTTATAGATAAATATATTAAATAGTTAAGAAGTATTGGGACGAAGAGAGAGAGAGAGAGTAAAGAGAGAGAGCGAGAGGCAGAGGGAACAGAATATTTCGAAACGTACATTTGCATATGAATTAAACAAAGATAATTAATTGCAATATATAAGCATCCCTTTTTAGATTCGTCAAGATTTTCAAGCGAACTGTAAAGATGTTTGAATACTCGCTAAGATCGTGTTAGATCGCAAATCGAATATTGCAAACTAAATTAACGACGCACGTCTCGATCTTATAATTTTTTTTGTAATGGCAAGAAAATGACTGCTTTTAGGTTAGAAGCATTTATCCAATTCGTCCTAATTTTTTCATATAAATAAATGCCTAAATTCTCTCCATCCCCCTGTCCCCCACTGACCAGCATTCCCTATGCACGCTTTTTAAACTTCTTCTTTGACGAATCTTTCCCTAGTTACGTATCATGTTATGGGGTCTTGTTCAATCCATATTTTCAAAAACAAAGAGCTCGGCCCCATTCTTTGAATAAATAGTACAACTGTAAAAAGTTGAAATCATGATTTGGACATCAATTAACTCATTTACATTATATTACATACACGTACAGAAATATACTGGGTTAGTGGTTTGAGGAAATCTGCTCATTTTACTTTTTAAGGAAACCATTAAGACAAATCTCGATTTTATTGATTATTTTGCACAGCAAAATTTGGGGATCATACTTTGAAATGCCATCACTCGGAGTCAATTCTAGAGCCAATGGACTTAATTGTTCGCTTATCAGAGGTAGTTCTATTCTATGATTTTTATAGCATCCAGTTTCTCGCATCGAATCGGGATTTTAATTAACATTTTGTAAGCATGTATTCGAGCATGATGAAGTTGAAATGTGAAAAATAAGTAGAATAAAAGTCACATTACAAAACTCAAATAAAAGGAGAACTAGTACAAAGGCCATGACATAACCTCAAAGAAAAAGGCAAATGCACAGTGACGTTACGAAAAAGAAAAACGGCAAAGTCTTCATTTATTTTGTTAGTTTGCTAAATACAAAAACTAATGAAAATGCTTTTTTCGAGTTTTCGAGTTCGAATGTTCACTATTCAATCGCGTTGCAATCTTTTTTCTCTTTTCGCCTTATGGGTTGATGATAGACGCTAATAGAAATAATTATTTCATTAACTCCGTTAAGTGCGTGTTTATGACTTCAATGACAAATAATTGTTTGCTTCCGTTGGATGGAGTGAAAAATACGGAATAAATGAGCAAAGTCAGCATTGAATGTGTTTACAAATTGTTTACATTTATGTAAATTAGTCGATTTTTTTTCTGGTTGCCTTTTCAAGCAGTTCATAGCATTACCTAGGCAAACACGTAAGTGATGGTTGGCGGTGGTGAAGTTAAGTGTGGCGCCATGCTACTATTTTTTTCGTTTTTGTTTTTATTTCTTTTTTTTTTTTTGTGGTTGTTTTTTTCTCAAGCAACGTTAGAAACACAATAAACATTTGGGGTAACGGATTAAGAAACCGGTAAAGACACTCAATCCAGCATAACTGATTAAAGTAGTGGGAAGGAGTATACAATAGACAGAAGGAGAGAAAGAAAGAGATGACAATTGTTTAATTTGCCGTTAAATTTCATTTTGACAAATTTTGTCGATTTATAAAAAGATTTTCATTTTTCTTGAAATCGATACTTACCAAACCTTTGCATGTCGAAAGTGCCACCCGTGACTGATGATGTCCTCGTACTTTGCCGTGATAATGACAATTTGTATTCTTTTGCGGTTTCTTACGTATACGTAAATCTCTTTTATGTCTTTCAACAATCAGATGCGGTGTCATGAAGTAATTGTGAGGCCTTTGAAAACGAAAAAAAAACAAAAAAACAAAAAAACAAATGTTTAGCAACTTAAATATTATCGGATGTTTAACACACTTACAACAACTCCAAATGTAGCGTATCATTATCAATATCCATTTGATAATGTACCTCGGCTTCCGTTTGATAATGACATCGTTCCTGCAAGTTTCTACGCTTGCGATTGTGTTGATAATGTTCGGTATGATGATGTGTTAAATTGTACGTTAAAAGTTCACCATATTTTGTTACTTTTCGAGGTATAATAAGTTGTCCAGAAGTCAGTTCGTCCGAAAATAGGCCTACATAAACGTACAAGTTAAATGAAATATAATTTAATTTATTTAATTATTATAGCAAAACACAATTTGTTTCATTTAACTATATATATACTATAAAATATATATAAATATATATAAAATAAATATTATAAGTGAAATTCGTTTAAACAAGTTTATCTGACAATATACTTATATCATAAATCACATAAGACCATAAGGAGAAGTAGCATTTTAAATTTAATTTAAAAAATTACACGGTTCAACGCATGAATGCCGGCAATTATTATGCAATCATATCCATGTACAAACACATTCGCAAAGGCAGGTAAGTAGTCGGACAGGCGGACAAGCGGGCGGCCGGGTAAAAATTGAAGGCGCGAAGGCTGGCAAGCAGGCCAGCTAGCAGACAGAAATCATTTCAAGTTTTACTTATTTCATAAAAGCCAAAATATATGTACATGTATATATACTAAATATATATATATATAGTAAACATTTACATTATATGTATATATATTAAAAACATTGACATACACACGTAAAATTCATTCATAAAAACTCACGCGAAACTTTTTACGTTGGCGTCAGCTATATAAATAAATTCTAAAGATAAATTGAAAATTCAAAACAGCGAAACCGGCAGCATACACTCTCTTACAAATAGGCACACAACCATAATAATAATAGCAGCAGCAAAAACAATAACAACAACAATAGCAAGAGTATAGCACTTTATAAGTGTCATAAATTAACAGCGACAAAAATGCAAATTACGAAAGCATAAAAGAAAATTGTTTTGAGGGAGAAAAAATCACCCATAGAAGAGATTGAAAAAAAAAAATATATATATATATATACAAAAACAAGAAATAAGCATGAAAATTGAATTACCACCCATGTTAACATATGCGTTAATTGAAATCATTTATAAGCCGCAGGCGAAAATGATGAAAAAATATTCATTAACATGGTGACACCGTAAGCCGTAAGAGAGGGAAAAAAATGAATTTAATATTTATTAATTAAATGCAATTACTTTGTATATCAATATGCATTGGGAGAGGACAGACGGGTCGGGTCGATAGTAATTTGGAATTTTATTTCTTTTAGCATAAAGTGAAAACGTAGCAAACATTATTAGCAATATTTACTTCAGCTAGACGGCAATAATTTAATCGTGCATAATAAACGAATATTTTCTTGTCATAATAAAATTTAAGAAGTACGCTTTCACTGCTTTATAAGCATGAGTTATTATCGATTTCCGCTTTTTTTTTTTTGGTTAAGGGAGTAAATTAAATTCGACAGACGGGACGTTTTCCAATAAACGGACTTTCATGAAAATAATGCGTAATTTTTGATGTATTATTATCATAATTAATGAATAACTGTGGTAAGCGAAGTGATATAGAGTATCCGATCCCGGCCATTTTCAATAGCGTTCGTTCTTGAACCAATACAATTCTTGTTACAATAAATCAAAAACTATACCTAGAGATTGACTGCAAAAGTACATGAACAAACATTTGACAAACAGGTAATCTTAAAAAATCGAAACCGAACCACCTTCAATAGCGTTCGCACCTTTAGATCAAAATATGTGAACGTATCGAATTTCTGCAAAATATCTCTAAAATTGCGACCTGTAGGTTGAACACAACAATACATGGCCAGACAGACAGACAAGCTTGAATCGATCTAAGAAAACTATTATGAATCGATTGGTATAATAAAAGATTGATCCGTTCTAGGTGTTACGTACACCTGTACGAAGCTAACAAACCCCAGATCGTAAATGGTGTAGGTCGATTGTCTAAATGTAAACGACAAAATACGGCAAAACTGGTATATAAATTAAGGAAGATATATAGTAGGAATTTTGCCGAATATTTTTGTTAAACCTTAAAATGATCTCTTCTATGCGTTTCAAATTATTCATTAAAAGTTCTTGAAACTAGTCTTATAATAGCCACGAAATTTATAAGTTAACCATACTGACTTGTGCCGACGGCCTATTTCAAGGCGACATTGCAAAGTTGATCTCAACATGTTATCTTCGTTGCATGATCTCGTTAGGTGATCTATGATATACCCACTCGGTAAAAACGTTTGCAACAACTAGAAGGAAGCTTCAGAACTCTTGCAAGCAGATTCATATTCAAAATGTTTGCTGAGTCATTCAAAGGACACGCCTAAAATATGGCATAAACTGAGAATTGGGTTTTTCCCTTCTTCCTTATAATAATCTACAACAAATATTACGATGACAATTTCTGCACATGTAGAGTATATTCTTTCGATAATTCTACAGTACCAGCAAGCAAAGCGGCAATAATCGGCTGACCCGCACCAATGCTCGTGAGTATGGGAATTTCCCAATTGAACCAATTGAACGCAATAAATATCCAAATATATATCACATTTTCGTAGAAAGAAAAAGTCGAAACGGATGCCATACCGTCGAATTAGTAGATTGTGAAATGAACATCGAATGACAAAGAAAGTTATACTCGCTTTAGAGTGAACCGTTGAAGGGCATTAGGTGTTAGGTAATCAAATGGAAGCATTTTTGGTTTGTGAATGGTCTCGGAGAGTTGTTTGTTTGAGACTTTAGAGCAATAACTGGTTGGGATTGCAAAGTAAGTAAGTAACTAGATACGCGAATGTTCACTTTGCCATCATCACAAATTTTGCTACCGCCAGCCTTTCAATGGCAGGCGGTATCATAGAGCCATGGAAATGAACGGACGGGCAGACAGACGCACGGATTGAAGATAGTGAAGATCGATTTAAAATATAAATGTTTTATAGATTGTCCTCCTACATGTACTAAACGGAATGGCAAATCGAAATCCTTCTCAAACCTTCGCATCCCTCGGTGATTGGTATAAAAAAATGTACAAAATTTCATTTTGAGCCGCACGTAATTTTTCTTATGCATATCTCCGATGCGTAGTAAGCAACTTACCAAATAATCTCTCATCGCCATTCGCTTGCCAGGCACTTATTAGAAGGCATATTAATAAATTCACTTGTGCCTGAAGTTCCATTGTTTTTATTACTTATTTTAATTTATTTGATATGAAAGACAAATCGCAAGATATTTATTTTTCTTTTCATTTAATTTTTTTAATTTATATTTGGATTCCTTTTTTTTTTTTTTTTTTTTTTTTTAAACAAAATTGAATGTAAATTCTTTAAAGGTATTATTTAACCATTGTCCATAAGTTTTTGTATTTTGAAAAATATTTTTGACATGGCAATGTGGACATCACGTTCTGTATTGATCGGCAAAAACAATAACAAATTTCCTTGCGATAGAATCTGAAAATAATACAAAAAAAAAAATAAATAAATAAACAATTTTTGATTTAAATTAATTTCAAGAATTTATTAAAATAAACAATGAAGTTTTATAAATGAAACGCTGATGATAACTATTAAGAGCCATTTAAATAAATAAACTAAACAGTCATTAGCATAATACTACTGGGTGTTAACAACAACAATAATCATAAAAATAAATATATATATATATATATATATATGTATATGTAGAAAAGTCATAAGTCTTCCTTAATTAATTGTCCAATTTATTCTTTACAATATTATAAATGCATATTTTAATCAAAGCATAAATGTCATTTGTCATAATTTACGTTAGTGTAGCGATTTCGATTGATTTCATTAAAAAGTATTTCAAATTAAAATAAAAAAACGCCATCGAATCGATTGTTCTCTTATTGTGCGTTAAGTAATTCATATGATTTCGCTTTCATTATAAAATTTTTGACGACGATTTATGCAATACGTTGCATACACTTATATATATATATATATTTGTGTAAAATTAAATATCTATAACTGCTGTTTGGTACGCAGTTAGGGCTAATTTTTGCTCGATCGATTTTTTTTTTTTTTTTTTTTTTTAATATCTAATTATTTTTTGTGTTAGGCTTTTGCGAATATATGCAACACTCAGAAGGAGTTGAGAGACACCCACGTTTGTTTTATTTTCTATTCAGAATCACTTTCTGAATCAATCAAAGCTTGTCTATTCGTCTGTTCGTCTCGTTTTTTTTTTTTTTTTTTTTTTTTTTAAAACTGTGGGTCGCACTTTTTGAAATCAGCATATTTTGGATGGTTCGGATCGGACCACCTTTTTTAACCGCTTCCCATATAAAGCCCTCTTTTGAAAAGTCTTTATATGGATAACTGTATTAAGCGAAATACTGTAAAAAATTTAATAGTGAGCCGTGTCCTACTATTGAATTTCTGGATGTTTTCTATGCCATGAGTATGATTCCGTTTTTGTGTGACGACAAAAATTACCCTTGACATAGCCCATAAAAAGTATTGAGTGCAGCTAATGTTCCAGGGTCAAGTGGTACTAAATACGCGATAAAACCCTTCTCAACGTGCATAACTCAAAATAGACAACTGGTTAATATAGACTATTCAGTCAGTCAATTAAAGCCATGATTTAATTGATGACACTTATGGATAGTCTTAACCAAAGCAAGTAATATCTGGAACATAAAAAATAAAAATGAATTTTAGCGGAAAACTTTCATTAAATATATTTTCGTATCGAATTTTCTTTCGAATGTAAATAAGTGAGAAGATTACATTTGTGTGTGACCAAATCTTTCATGCCCGTCACCAATAACGAAAAAAAAGCTAAAAATCGGTTAAAACTCAATTTTCATGCTCTGTAGCATAGGATAGGCGTGGCGGAATTTTTTCTATTTTTTAGAGTAAAAGTGGAAACTTATATCGCGTATCTGTTGGAATTTAAGGATAACAAGCAAAAAGCAAGCAAAGCGAAGATGTTCACAGTTTTTGTTGTGTAAGCATGGGGGAGTGTAGGTGTATCCGTTGACCGGTTCGGGACATTTACAAATTCTTTTGCAAATTTAAAGCGATATCTTCATTTTCGTGAAGGCGAGAACGCTTGCTACATATACTACATAATTGGACCGACGGACAAATTAACAGACGAACAGACGGACGGATGTTTACAAGCATTCTCAGTTTCACTCTGATCAAGAATGTATAGAGTTTCTGAGCATTATAAAAGTTTTGACAAAAACATACACATACACCATCATATTGGATAGGCGCAGCCAACGTTTTTTATTTTTATACAGATATCGACAGAATATACATAGGAATTTTTATAGGTTTATCCGCTGCAGTCTCTGAGCAATGAGCAAAAAGCCCCTTTTTTTCCTTTTGAAAAGCAGAAGTGTTTCTGTAATCGTGTCCTTTGACAGGCTTGGCCTATTTTTTTAATACCAATCTGCCTACGAGATTTTCTCTAGAGCTCCCTTCTGTTCCTTGCAAACGTCTTGACAAACCGGATCTTCCCTGATCCTTCGATATCGAAGTGTATTGAAAAAACGCAATTTTCTTCTTCGCTTTTTCTACAATAATTTATGGTGAGTTATATGGACGGTTGAAATTTAAGCCGTAGTCAATGGTCAGATTCTACCAAATGTTAAACCGAGTATATAATGATCTGATCCGTTCATTTTGGATTTCTAGCAAGTGAAACATAAAATAATTCATACGAGTTAATATATTTCTCGCAAGGTTTAATTTACGCGAGAACCTCTAAAAGTTCTTCAGAGTTGTTATCTTATATAAATTAATACCTCTTCATTGTCTTTAAAATCTTGAAAAATGACAAGACATTAATCTAACTAAAACACTAAATTGTAACTTCCAACTATGCAAGTGGCCATCAGGGTTAGGGGGCTTTCAAATCGATAATGCGTCGAATAAGTGAACACAAATGTTGCCTATAAGATCGTCCGCACCATTAAAGAGATGGTGAAACTTGAAAACTTGTAAATTTTCTTTTCTTTTCAGGCCCTAAATAAATTAGTCGATAGAGACTATATTCGTGCGCAGAGCATTCTTTGAAATCCAGAGAAAAAACATTCTGATCTTTATTCGCTTTAGGTTATTGGGGAAAATGTTTTGAAAGTTTCGATTCTTTTCTCGTAATATTTTAGTTTAATTTGGACTTAATCTATGACAATTGTTAAGGCTGCGACAATGCTAGTATCCGACAACCGATCAAACAGGCATACATAGAATAAGTGTAAGTACTGATCTTGATATGGTGTTCGCAATAATTTTCTCTGAATGTAATAGTAGGGTAGTAGGGTACAAAAATTAAGACGATTCTGTATTTTGACTGCTTGATCACAAAAGCTATCAATAGAGATAAATAAGTGAAAGTTCTCACAGCAAATATGTCTTGATTCGGGTCACTTTCGCTTTTTTATTTTTTTTTTGCTTACAAAAATGTAATGAATGTTTTACCAGTGTTTTAATTTCCTTCCTATGTACGCATAATTTGCAATAACTTAAGCTAGATCAGGTCTTCATGAGGTCACAAATGTTGTGTGATGTTATATGTAACTTAGACCCGTAAGTCGCATAGATTCTTTCTTGTTTGTTTTGTTGTGTAAAACTTCCATATAAAATGCAAGACAACATTTCCAACGTTACGTTCCATGTAAGTGTAAAGTATTTTTCCGATATATTATAACCGAACGTATAAAAGCCGCAAGCATTACATTGTAATAAAGCCTTTATCACATAAATTGTTGCTAATGTGTGATATGTGTTTCTTGGATGTTTGATGAATTGTAAACAGCTTAACTTATTGATCAATTGACATCATTTTTTGGACAAAACTTATGAAAAGAAAAATGTTAAATAAAAATTTAAGATCGATTATATTATTTACGATAAACTTTCGATAACGTGAACATGTTATCAACGGACATGCAAATCATCACTGAATTGGTCCTATTGTTCATACTATCCAAGAATATGAGAGTGCGTATGGGATTGCCATTGTTACAAATGTAGACGTTATAAAGATTGATATGCCATCGAGAGATGTCGATCATACAAATATCGATGATGAGTGTGTGTAACGTATCGTTTTAAATCTGGCACCTCATGCAATACCCACATCTTACTGTTCGCTGAAAATTCACAAAAACTTTAAAAGCAAATTTCCTCTTAATCGATTAACATTTTCAAGAGACGCAAAATTAATTGAATGTGAAATTTTCTAATGGAATTGTTTTTTTTTTTTTTTTTTTCAATTAAATAAATTCAATACAAATACATTGAAATGAATGGATGAAATGAATATATTATGTTCGATTTATGACATTAATAAATCGATTGGAAACGATGAAAACGATTAGAAATAAATCCCTCACGCTCGGTATACATGAAATATGATACATTTGAAAACAACTTTTACGATTGGATGAGTTCGATTGGATTTTATTGGATTGGATTGGATTGGATTGGATTGGATTGGATAGATGCCTTCAGTTAACAGATCAGTTCAATTTCTCGCAGCAATTATTGGCGCCGCAATCATATAATAGATTGAGCTAGCTAACAACAACAACAACAACAACAACAACAACAGCATATACACATAAACTTGTAGCTACCATAAGAGACCATAAATCTAAAACTACTAAGCTACTGCTGTCTTGGCCTCACATCTTCAACATGACTGTCAAAATTATTATTTTCTTTGATATAATTGCCTTAAGGATTTTTGATGGTAAAATTTATTTTACGCTATGACTGGTTTGCTATGGTTATGTTGTGCTCGTTGTCTTTAAACTTTTGGAAGGCAGCAGCAAAGCAAAAAAAACAGATAAAACGCTTCGTAAGGAAAACATTTCTGTGTGTTTTTGCTTTTTGAAGTGTGATCAATGTATGATTGCAAGTCACGATATAATTTTTTTATTTTAGTTATTTTAATTTTTTGATTTTATCGTTGATTGTATTTTACAAAGTTTTTGAAAGAATTGCTTTAGGCTTTGAAAAACGCATGCATAGCTGCAACAGTGCATGAAATACATAAGTGTGCGGAAGTATCGAAGAAGCCGCAGCATAACAATCCCATACATATTGTAACTCCTTCGAGTAGTGACGGTGACGATTGAAAGCTTAACATTTAATTTATGCTATATCTCCTTATAGGACTATTTATATGCTATCAAATCAAACCCCATTTGAGACCTCTATCTAGTCGATGTCACATCTGAATTAACATTTATATAATAA